TTGCTGTTGTTATTAAAGGCCTTCAAGTCAGTTCTGACTCATAGCGACCCTGTATAGGGTTTCCAAGGAGCAACTGGTGAGCTTGAATCACCAACCTTGCAGTTCAAACTAACCTTGCAGTCCAGCGCATTAACCCACAGCACCATGTGTATATATACATAAATATGTATAAAACTCTGTCTCTCTGGACTTCTGGTGGTATGGCACTGTAGGATCAGCACTGGACTTGCAAACCACAAAGTCGGAAGTTCAAACCCAACAGAAACCCTATAATGGGTCACAATGAATCGGAAATGACTCAATGGCAGTTAACAACAACATCCACAGGGACACAGCATTGGGGGTTCAGTGGCAGAATTTTCATCTTTCATACAAGAGACCCAGATATGATTCCAACCCAATGCATCTTCTGCACAGCTACCATCTTGTCTGTCAGTGGAGACCTGTAAACTAAGCAGTCTTCCAAACTAAGACTAGGAAGAAAGACCTGGCAATCTACTTCCAAAAACCAGCCAATGAAAACCTATGGATCACAATAGTCTGATTCTGTTGTGTATGGGGTCACCATAATTCAGAGGCCAACTCCAAGTAACCACAAACCAACCAACAACAACAATATGTATATTCTATAATAATCAAACAATAATTAAAATGATATGTAGCTATCAGTTGAGTGTTTACTTTGTGCCAGGCACTGTTGTAAACACTTTACATTTGCCATTTCCCCCATTTTACAGATGAGGAAGCTAAGGGACAGGAAGGATAAGTAACATGTTCAAAGTCAGTTTTTATTATTACTGACCAGAGGACTTACTACTTCCTCTTTCTGGATTACCAAAGTTTTGTCATCTTCCAAATGTGAATGTTTGTTGAATAAATACCCTGCCTTCCAAAGAATGCTAAAAGAATAGATTCCTTGCTTGAAAGTGCTGGATCTCACCAGGGATAATACGAGCAAGGGAGAGCTGGGCCCTTCAGAATTGCAGCAAATGGGCTCAGGGAACTTGCTGCTGGTTCATTTATCTATCCATCCATCCAACATGGCCTGAACACCAGCTCTGTGTCATGGCCTGGAGATAGCACTGGGGTGTCGAGTCCCAAACACACAGCCCATCCTAAAGGACTTACTCCTTTCTCCTTGGCTAGCAGGAGAGTCTTCCTCAACCAGGACCTGCCTCTGGGAACCTCTCAGAGGTGAGTACTAGGGTGGAGGTGGCCCTAAGGGGCTGGTGACCAGGAAGGTGGAATGTCCAGCTCTGATCCAATTGGTCCCATTTATGGGTTGGAGCAGGGGGAGACCTGGCTAGCTTGGGTCCATGGATTAGATGGAGGTTGGAACTTCTGGCCCCAGACCAATGCCTGGACACCAGTTAAGAACTGCAAGTGAGAGCATGGGGGAAGATTCTAGGAGTTCTCTTTGGACAGCCCTGACGGGAGGTGTCAAGGTTAGCAACCTCATGTAAACAGGGAGACTGTCTGGGGTAGTGGAACCAGCTGTGCACCAGGAGTCATGAAGGCCAGGTTTCAATCCTGCTCTGCTTCCTGACCAAATAGAGAATCTAAGCTGGTTGGTTGCTCTCCTCTGCATTAGAAGTTAATACTTACCTGTCTTATCTCCCTTTGGTTGATGGGAAATACAATAAAAAGAAGACTAGGAAGGTATTTATCGTGATTGCCAGGAGGAGCTAATGTTAGACACCAGGAAGGGCTTTCCCTGGAGGAGGCGGGAGATCGGGAAAATAGTCATGGTAGAGGATATTCCCCTCCACAACGATCTTAACCACCCTTTCTACCTACAGGTACACCCAGCCAGGCTCTGAGGCTGGGGGCATTGCGACTGTTTCTCTTCAAACTGTTGTTGTTTGATGTGCTCCTGACCTGCAGCCAGCTCCGCACCCTGTGGACAGCCCGGGAAGACTTGGCAGGGGCACCTCACTTAGGGGGCTCCAGGCTCCGCACACTTCCAGTGGCCCCGCAAGCAGATCATTGCGTTCTCTGTCTGCCTGTGCCTGTCTGAGAACACTCCTCCCCCAAAGACTGAACTTTGCAGCTGTGATGGGAACGAGTAGCAGAGCTTCCCCCAGCCTTCCGGCTTCACACCCTCCTCTCGGTCAGGAGCCCAGGGACGCTCATCATTGACCCTCCTTGGGCCAGGTGCTTATGACCCAGCCTTAGTATTCCAGTTTGGGAGCATTTGTATGTGGCGCTGCCTCCTACTGCAGTCTGGGCTTCCTCTGTCTCCCCACCTCAGACTAAAGCGCTGTGAGGGAAGAAAGACTGGGATCTCTGTAAGTGTGGTGATCATTCAGTCACTCGGATATATGAAGTGAAGATCACTGAGAACAATTCAAAGAAAATTTAAATGATACATGCAAAATAAAAAATATTTTACTTTGCATCAGCCCTGGGAGGAGGGAATTTGGTGGCTTTAGAGGATGCAGGGGAGGTGCAGACGGTAAATGTGCTCATTTGCTAACTCAGAGGTTGGAGGCTTGAGTCAACCCAGAGGCACCTCAAAAGAAAGACCTTTTCCAAAAATTACTTTTACAAAAATCTACTTCCAAAAATTAATCATTGAATGGCCTATGGAGGTGCCATGAGTTCAGAATCAACTTGAGAGTAGCTGTTACTTATAGAGGAAACAGAAATCTGGGAAGGCTCCTGAGAACCTGAAATTGCAGAGTGGGGTTGGAGGTTAGCGAAGAAGTTGTCCCATCTCGGTCTCCTTCCCTCATAGCTAGGTGTTTGGTGAGGCTCCCTCTCTGCTCCTTACCCTGACTAATCCTGTGTGAGAGGAATGGGCAGCCCAGGAGCCTAGGACATAAAAACTGTGCCTAACGTGATGGCTAATACAGGCTTGACGACAGTGAACAGAGCCAGAATTCCCAGGTGACAGAATCATGTTCAATGCCAAGAGCACTCACTGATGATAATTCCAAACTTGCACATTATAAGTGAATTAAGGGTCATTATTTATTGTAGTGGTTACGAGTTGGGCTGCGAGCCTCAAGGTCAACAGTTCGAAACTACCAGCTGTTTCACGGGAGAAAGATGAGGCTTTCTGCTCTCGTAAAGATTTATAACCTCAGAGACCCTATACAGGGTCTCTATGAGTTGGAACTGACTCCACAGCACACCACCACCACCACCACCACCACCATTCATTCAATCAAGTCCTGATGTGGCGTTGTGGGAAAATGCACTTGACCACAAGGTCTGTTTCAACTGCAAAGTCGCTGGTTCATGTTCACCAGCCACTCCTCGGAAATCCTATACAGGGTCTCTATGAATCGGAACCAACTCAACTTAACAATTCATTCAGTGAGGAACCTTGATGATACAGTCGTTAAGCTCTCAGCTGCTGACCAAAAGATTGGTGGTTCAAACCCAGCAGCTGCTCCTCAAGTGAAAGCAGTCTGCTTCCATAAAGATTTACAGCCTTGAACATCCTACGTGATAGTTCTACTCTGAATTGACTCAACAGTAATGGGTTTGGTTTTTTGTTTTGTTTTTATTCATTCAACAAATATTCATCGAACAAGTCTGATTAAAGGAGGCTTTTTTCCCCCTGGTAGCATAGTGAGTTATGAGTTAGACTGCTAACTTCAATTAGCAGTTCAAATCTACCAGCAGCTCCAAGGGAGAAAGATGAGCCTTTCTGTTCCCATAAAGATTTACAGCCTTGAAAACCCTATACAGCATTGCTATGAGTTGGAACTGACTTAACAGCACATAACAACCACCCACCACCAAAGAGGGTTCTTGCACTGTTAGAATATAAATAGAACGAATATAAACTGTATGCCTCTTGTGTTTCAGCTATGGCAGCAAATCCAGTCTTTCCAGAGAGTTCCTTAAGTGTAATCATCCCCCAAATCCCTGGGTGTGTCCAAGGACAGTCTGCTGGGTCAAAGGCCCTACCACAATGTTCCCTTCCTTTTGTCAGTCTCTAAGCATCTCAAAGATGTGGGGATAAGGGACTATATTTGTTTCCAATGGCTGCTATAACAAAATATAGGCATACCTTGGAGATGTTGCATATTTGGCTTCAGATTGCCAGGAATGCATGCTGTTGTGAAAATTGCGCTGATAGACTTGCTTGACACAGGGTTCCCACAAACCTTCAATTTGTAAAAACTGTAATATCTGAGAATTGCAATAAAGCAAAGCGCAATGAAACAAGGTGGGCCTTACCACAAGCTGGCTGATTTAAAACAACAGAAATTTATTCTCTTACATTCTGGAGGTTGGAAGTCTGAATCCAGGGAGTTTGACAAGGCCACGCTCTCTGAATTCTCTGGGGGAAGATCCTTTCTTGTCTCTTCCAATTTATGATAGTGCCAGGAGTTATGTTTGTGTCAGCAGAATTTTAATCTCTGCTTCCATCTTTATATAGCTGTCCTCCCTCTGCCTGTGTCTCTGTGTCCCTTCTCACCTTATAAAGACAACAGTCATATTTGTTTAGGGTCCACAAATTAGCTTATTACTTATGCAAAGATGCTATTTGGAAATAAGGTCATAATCACAGGATGAACATTTGAATATATATATTGGGGAGTGGCACAAACCAACTCATGAAAGAGACTATGTTCTAGCATCTCCCAACACTCTTAATCAGTGTCACTGACACCGCCAACTTCCCTGTTTCAGTGCCTTCTCAGTTGCTGTTTTCATGAAAACCTTCACCGCATCCTCCGCTGCCCATCTCTCATTAACCTGTAAGAAGATTCTCCCTCTCTTTTTTGGTTTCCTTAGGGAGGGTGTTGAATAGTTTCTGAGGATGAATCTGTCCAACATCATCACAGAGCCTGTTCCTTCCTTGATACACAGACTGAGGTAGAGAGGAGACTGAGTCCAGGATGTCCAGCCAGTTTCTCCATGGTTCCTTCTCAGTCCTCAGCCCAGATGCTTCCTGCCAAACTCATTCTTATCCCAATAAATATTCTCTCAAGAGGTCCTTTTAGTCATTCTAAAAGCTGGGCTACTGTCAGTTTCTCTTTTCTTCTCTTCTTGCTCCAATTCTCCAACCATATTCTGCCTTAAACTTTGGATCCTCACTGTGGCTTGTTGTTTACTGCCATCAAGTTGATTCCGGCTCACAGGAGCAGCTGGTGAGTTTGAACCAATGACCTTGTGGTTAAACCAACATTGAGGTTCAGTAATTATCCTTCAGCATCACACCAGGACTCCCCACTGTGGCTGTTGTTAGGTGCTATTGAGTAGGTACTGATTAAGGTTACACACTTTAAAAAATAACGAAAATAGCATGCCTGAAATTTTTACAAACTGCCAGATATACTTTCAATTCCATAACTTCCTTAAGCTTCCCAACAACAGGGTAGTATCACATAGTAGCTAGGTGGATCACCTTGATATCATATAAATAAAAATGGAGGTGCAGAAATAAAGTTCTTTGTCCTGGTTCTCACTGGGACAAATCTAGAGTTGCTGAGCACTACAAAATCTATTTGAAGGCTAGAGACTGCTTAAATAGTCCTTGTTCCACCCACAGTGGCTGTTTGAGTGACAGGCTATTGTTACAGCAACAATAAAATAACAGGTACTTAGCAATAGACTGCATAAATCACTGAACAATATCATTAATATCACAAGCAAGTAAAACTTTGCAAAGGTGATTTTAAAATGGTTGCATTAGTACATCAACCAGGAGCTGACAAAAATTCAAGCCAGCCTTAGAAGGGATATCATTGCTGATGTCAGATGGATCTTGGCTGAAAGCAAAGAATGTTAGAAAGATGTTTATCTGTGTTTTCCTGACTATGCAAAAGCATTCGATTGTGTGGATCATAACAAACTATGGATAACACTTAGAAGAATGAGAATTCCAGAGAATTCCATCTTGTTCATGTGGAGCCTGTACATAGACCAAAAAAAAGGCAGTAGTTAGAACAGAACAAGGGGATACTTAATGGTTTAAATTCAGGAAAGGATACCTGTTTCTATGAGTGTTCCCTCAACTTGGGGCCCTGGATCAAATAGGTGGTGCAAACAGCAGGTCCTAGATGTGCCTCTGTGCAAAAAGGATTGTCAGCACTGGTTGGAAGACTGCCGCACCTCCTCCACCGTCAAGACCAACTGGCACAGGGCAGGAACTGGACATCAGGGCATAGTCAGTGCCCAGCAGGAGCTACCAGCCAGGACTTCAATTTCCACTTTCCCATACTTCCTACTTTGTTCATTGAAATCTGGAGTCACTCCCCTAAGACTATAGCCTTGGAGTGACCTCTGCATGCAGATGTGATTTGGCCCCGTCCAGGGCAACCCCTACGTTGTTATGTGCTACCAGTTTTGACTCATAGTGACTCTCTATGTTGAGGTCATGAGTGGGGTTGAGTCCCATTGGGTCTAGGCCCATCCTCTCATGCTCTGGCTGCTCATTACAGGCCTGTTCAGCTTCAGAGCACCCAGTTACTCAATATGTACTCCACAATAGAGCCCTCTGAAAGTCAGTTTAAGTAAATTGTTGTTGTTATTAAGTGCTCTCGAGTCAGCTCTCGCTCACAGCAACCCTTTTAATAGGGTTTCTGAGGAGTACCTTGTGGGTTTAAGCCACTGACCTTGTGGTTAGCAGTCCAGTATTTATCCTACAGAGTCACCTGGAGGTTCAAACCGACCTTTAGGCCCAGTGCATTATCCCACAGGCCACACCAGTTTAAAATGTTCTTGTTGTTATTAGGTGTCATCGAGTCAGTACCAACTCATAGCAACCCTATGCACAACAAAACAAAGCACTGCCTGGTCCTGGGCTAACCTCATATTTGTTGCTATGTTTGAGCCCATTGATGCTGCCACTTTGCCAATCCATCTTGCTAGGGGTCTTCCTTTTTTTCTCTCACCCTCCACCTTACCAAACATGATATCCCTCTCCAGTGACTAGTCCCTCCTGACAACATATCCAAAGTATGGGAGACGAAGTCTGGCCATCCTGGCCTCCAAGGAGCACTCTGGCTGCACTTCTTCCAGCACAGATTCGTTTGTTGTTTTGGCAGCTCATGG